TATATATATATATGCCAACGATGTGATAATGATAACGTACAAAACAAATGTACTTTTCGCACAACGAAATTATAAAAAGAAATTGAACAATGGAACAAAACAAATTACGATCATTTATATATGTGAAAAATTATATATTTATTTGCTATTTCTTGAGAGACTACTTCCTTTATTTGAGTTTTTTATTTCTAAACGTGCAGCTGAAGAATTGATGAAAGAAATAAGAAATACTTATACCTGGTCTTCATCTTCACTTGAATGCATGACTACAGAGTGCAGTATCCATTTGAAAGAAATGAAAGGTATTGGACAACCAAATATCACAAAAAATTTCCACCTTTCTCCACACTCGAAAAAGGTTAGAACTAAGATGGTTTGAACAAAAAAACTATAAAATTCAAAGATCAAATAAACAATAATTCAAATGTTCCAGCTGACATTGCGCTGAATATAATGGCATCAATGTGACACGGCTGCAAGGGATACTTGATATTGACCACTTACCTACAAATCCAATAAGTGCTCCAAGAAACGTATTTTTTTTTAATTCCAAATCTTTCACACCATTCAAGTGCATTTCTCATGAAAAATAACCATTCTAATACTCAAATACAAAGCTTCGATATACTGTGACTTGAATGAGCGAAAAATTCATTTTGGTCAATAACACGTTTCTTCAGCACAAAATTATATGAAAACATACTGAAAATATGAAAATTATGGTCAAAATCAAAAAAGACATGGTGCTCCGAGGGAGCTCGTGCGGATAACTGAGGATAAGCAGAGCAAACTTATCTGACAAATATATCAAATTGTATAATAAAAAATCATGTAATAAAAATGTAATAAAATTAAATCAAAAAATAAAAGCAATACAAGTAATAGAAATATATAAACAAAAAACTCAAAATCACCGGTAACAGGTACTGAACTCAGAAACTCAGTGCAGATGCCAATTCAAAGAGAAAGGGATAGCCAGCACAGCAAATGCAGTGCAAATAGAATTAGGAGAGAAGCAAAGGCAAAAAAGAGAATGAAAGACCATTGCTTTCATCTGATAAAAACAAAATGTAAAAAAAAAGAAAGAAAACCACAACAATTTTAATAATATTGATGCCGTATTTTTTAATAGCCCGTAGGAACCACAGTAATTCAATTCGTCATCATCGTATAATCGAAAAATTATGCCCTCGATTGAATTATCTGCAAATTTGGCAACAAATTACTCAATTAGCAGTATTCGTATTGCATTAGGTAAGATCAATTTATGAAAAAAAATAAAATCAAAGCCATAAGTAAAATTCAGTTAGTGGTTGGTTAAACTAGCAATGAATCAAAAAAACTCCACGCTTTGCACTTCTTACATGTATGTTCATTCATCCATTATTCGAGTTACTGCATATTTTTTTACTATTTACATCATGCAACAATACGCCAACAGAACAACATTTTTTAGTAAAATCTTACGAAGTTTTCTTACTGAATGCCATCCACGTGATGATGAGATATAGTCTAGATTTCACGCGAAAAGATTACAAGATTTTTCTTCTCTACTTACTCCTCTTCAAAAGCTTCCCGTGGCCTTTTCTTCAAACTTGCAGACGTAACACCCCATAATTTTACAATATGAAAAATTAACTGATTTGAGATTGGATTTGAAATTGTATTTTAGCTAATGCCGAAGAACTACATAACGAATCTTACCAAAGACAATTATTTTAAATCATCTATCTTCAATTTCAACAAGAATAGGAGTTTGTTGTGAGAAAGCCTAGTCAGAAAAGAAGCAGATACGAACAACTATGCACAGTGTAACAAGTATAAAAAAAATGGGACTGCGAATGGATTTATAGTAATATCAGTTAAAACTGACTAAAAATTCAATTATTTAAAAGATCAAAAGTAGAGACAATGTAACGTAAGAGATTTTACTTTAAAAACGAGGCAATTATACTGTGAAGACCTGCAATGCATTGGTGCGACCGACATCTTCGACGACGAGAAGCTCAGTAGCAGCTGAATTTTGCTCCTCAATGATGATCTGTTCATTCTGTCCCGATGCTGGTTGTACCTGTACCTGATTTATATTAGAAGCATTCACTTTTGTAACAAAACCATCTTTCCGAGGGATTTTGCTAGGCGGTGGTTGTTGCACAGCAGCCAATTCATGGTTTGCCTTTTTTCGCCCACTTCGATGAACTGCATCTCGTTGCGATGAAACAATTACACCACTACTTTCGCCATTCAACTGATTCACTTCTTCTGAAGTTGATGGCACTGAGATCACTTCTATCACCTGCAATAATCAAATTATATATTTAACTCTGTAACTTCTGTGTATCATTTGGAATTTGTGTTCATTAGTGTCTAAATAATACCAATACTAATGTAACGAATTTTAAGAAATTTTGATGATCACAGTGAAGAAATATTAGATTCATACTTAGGAATTTGACTGGTATACTTTAAAAAGATAAGAAAATAGTAACGGCCAGAAAATACCCAGCATTAGTGTTTGACGATCTTGTTAACTTTAGTTACTTTTAACATCTGATAAGAAGGTAAAATTTTCTCACTTATTCGCTAACAAAACTATCGACAAATATTGAGACTACCAGATATCCTATAAATGAATCTACAAAGTAATTTAATCCTCATATTCTGTTTTCCAAAATGAAACTTAAAGAACTTACAGGGCTGTGTTTGTAAAGTAAAGCGTTCACACGCAGTCGTTCCATGGCAACTCGTTCACGTTTCGAGCAAGCAGTACGCCCTCCTTTGGTAAGCGTTGTACACTTCTAAATCATTCATGAGAAGTAAACACAAAATAATTATTCATGTTAACAAATGAACAGGAAGAAAGAGCGTTCTAAAAACCCAGAAATTATCTACTAACCTACAATTGGATAAAAATTTAGCGGAAATTTAGTGGAAAATTTAATGGAAACTGAAAGTGTAACTTGCTTCAACTCTCTCTGCATCTGGTTGCTTTTGCGTACAATTAATACCATTTGGCTTCCAATTACATTCACGCATCAATATTTCCTTCAAATTAAAAAGTGGATGTAAAGTATTTCTTCAACATATTATATTTATTTGCTATAGAAGAGAAGTAAAATTTCATAGTATTATCATTAATACTCAGCAAGCAAAATGAACTGATTATTTAACAGTTAATACAGAGTTCTTTCAGAAGATCCGAATACGGCAGTATGTAGTCGTGCAGTCATTGTGGTCTAATAATGAAAGTAAGGTTCATAATGCGTTCCATAATTTGTAATATTTAAAAGATAGCTGCAAATTTCAAGAACATACTTCAGTTTTTTGTATATTGGGTGGCAATTTTTTGGGTAATTGTGTACGAGAATACTCGATAACAAGCGGCATCATATAAATGTTGATCGCATTAGACATAGCATCTGAGTTTGGATTGAAATTTCGCAAATCTATGGAATTTCTATTAACACTAAGTCGTAATTTCCGTTTTACATTGCTGTCATTATCGCGTACGGGAAGCATTTCTGTCGTATAAGATCTGAAGTGTTATTGGTAAATGAACTAAAAGATACTACCGTTTCTGTCCTGCATGTATGGAGTATGGAGTTATTGATCGCATGAAAATTTCAGAAAAAAAAACCTATTCAGAATAGGTTGCTTATATTGAACATAAAATCTATACAAACATCAATTCTAAAAAACAAATAAATAAGCAAACATACTTAAATCTATCCAAAATAACTTGAGGATGATCATGTTTCATCAGATAAAATTCAGAAACAATTTCCAACGCTGTAACTAAACCAACACCAGGAATGCCTTTCTGAGCATAATCACAACCAATCATGATTGTCATTGCGATAAGGCAAGACCTAAAACATATAGACGCTAACCTGCTCTAATTTATATGATTATTTACTTCGCCTTAGTCTCTCCGCTAAAAATCCTATTTTGTAAGCAAGAAAGAGAAAAAAACTTTTTTTGGAAGCATTAGAAACACATTCAAACTTTAGATGATTCACACTACTTCAAATCATGCATTTTTTATTGTAAAATGCAATGAATTTAACATGACAACTGCTACCTAACAAGATTTAAAATTGTCTCAGTAATTCTCGCTTGTTGCTCTTAAAAACCTCCTTAAATCCTCTTAAATGGTTTTACCTGTTTAAGCACAAGGTTTCATCCAGATAATCCATAGAAAGATGAAGGATGTTGTTCTGTACTTTGTCACCAAAACCAAACTCTACCTTAAAGTGAAGCAATTTTTAAAAGGAATGAAGAGCATTATTTATCTTATTTCCAACATATCATTTCGAAAATGACTTTCCTTCTGCAGAAATTTAAAAAATAAAAAATTATCATTCAAAGAGAAACACAAATCCATGCGTGACGTGCGTAATTTAAGGGCATTTTTTTGATATAATGAGTTATACCGGCAGAGAGACAGTTTAAGTCGACAGACTTGAATCTAAATTTGTGAGTCCTTGCAACTCAATAACTGTATCAGGGTGCAACAGTGAAGCTAAAAAAAACTTCATAATAACAGGAATTTTAAAGACGCCTTGAATTAAAAGAAGTCATCCTTACCTGATAGAGATTATTCCCTCCGAAAAGAATATAATCGAAATCTCGTGTGATACAACCATGCACCAAGCCTCGTTGTTCAAGTTGTGCGCACTGTGCTTCACCTTCCAACTTACTTTCCATCCAGCGAACTCCCATCGAATTTAGCAACATCTTCAAATAATCTCTCCTTTATTTTCCTTATTCTAGGGTATTATGTATTGGATTTCTGCAAGAAAATCAGCTCACTGAGATGAGCTAAAATATGCGTATCTTTGTTATCCTAAACCTTGGACAATTTACCGCAAACACTATCTCTTTGTGATAGGATAAACAAATTGAAGTGACCTATACAGCCAAAAAAGTGTACCGTTTGCTGTGTTCACTGCTAAACCTATCAATTATTTTAACTTATTGATTAATTAACACACCACTATGACTTTTAAATTTGGCTGAATTTTCTAGCAGACACATGTCACAGTACTTGATATGCTGATTTACTGTCGTCCATGGGTTTTGTTCCAGAATAAAAGATAAGTTTTACAAAAAATAATTTCCACCTTGATTTCTTCAATTTTCGGCACCATTTCTTGTTTTAGCTCTGATGTCCAATATTTGCTTCCACGCTTCCTTACTTTCCTCATTGTAGAAACCGCATAATCCACCTGAAATCGTTACATATTTCAAAAAAGAAAGTAAAATTGTTTTAGTACTCAATTTATGAAAATGCAGCTATGGTTCCTACACAGAACAAGTGGGAACACACATTTGTCCGCTCTCCTTCATCAATTCCATCGAATACAACAATAGGCTCAACACCTTCTTCCAATAAACTTCGACATCGTGTGTAAAATGTACTTAAATATGGTTTCCGAGCAGTTGAGCAATGTGCTACTGAACCACGCAGCACCTCGCATAGCCAAGTGTGACCATCTAAAGCAAAAAAATAGAAAATCACAACCAATCAATTAATCCTTTTCTTGTTTCTTCCCTTATTAGGATCCTTCTTTTCCTCATTTACGATATTTTGCTTCCAAATTTATTTTGGATTTAAATGTTTGTCTATCTAAAACATGACTTCCTTTTCCTGCCCTTATTTGGCAATTTTTCGGTTCTGCATGCTTAAATTGAAAGCAGTTTAAGTTGTACCAAAACTCGATATGAGTCTCCTTAATTGTTCTCTAAAAAATTAGTAATTAACCTATAGCAATCCGTTTGTTCCGCAGTGCAGATATATTCACAGGTTGTACAAACTTTTGTACATATTCCCACATGCTTGTAACGCCCATTGCACTGGCGTTTCTTGAAGATCACAATCAAAATCCTGAAATCAAGCTTTAAACTAAACTGTACAAAAAATCACAAAAATTCCAACCTCGTACATGATAGCGAAAGGAAGTGTCCAAATATCAGGAAAACATCAAATAGTAATATGATGATAAAAGCTCCTTGTATTTAATTAGTGTTTCAAATGTTACATTGTCTTATTTTGATCTTATCTCCGTGAGATCAGATATGCTAATTTTGGATACAGTAAATATAGGATACATATATAGGATAATAGGTACGACTAATCCGAAAAAAATTAAGAACATAAAAATGCATTAAAAAATTCATGCTTTTATTGAAAATGAAGATAAGGTGATTTAGCTTTTCTAATCATATTCATAATGAAAGACTGTTGAGAGGTTTATTGAATGTGTGACCATTAAGGTTGCATATATTAAGTTAGATATGTGTACCTCAAGAACGCAATGTAAGTGAAGAGAGCTATGCACGACCGTGAACAATTTAACGTAAGGCCAGCGCCACACTTGACCGGTAAAAATTAATGTAAGTCGCAGAGAATCCGCGTGGCCACAAACCAGTCGGATTAAAAAGTAGAAAAAACCGTTGAATTCGTATACGACGTTTCAGATGAACATTCAACAATCTAAAAATACAGCAGGCCAAACTTCGATCGTTAAAACCAGCTTTTAACTGGAGATATATTATTAACTCATCTATAACACATCCACATGAGCATTAATATGGAAGAAAATTTCCAGTCGAGAGAAGTCTCGACCGGCGAAACTTGAAGTATCTCTCTGAACAGTGAACTAACAAGATCCTGAATCCATCTGAATCGCCCAAAAGTATCACTATTTGATGAGTGAAAATCGTTGCTATTACATTCAGCTGTTGGGTTAAGTTCATGTCTCATGTCTGAGGTATCACACGTGCACAGCCATTTTTGTCTTTAGAGTTGAACCTTGAATAAACCAAAAGACATTTTAACCATCCTTCAGAAGTAACTGTTCAGTATCTTTCATGTGCAACTTTTAACACCCTTGTAACCCCAAGCATCAAGCACATCTGATCTGTTTGTTCGCCATCAACGGATTAATCATCGATCGTTGACCTCGCGACAGCATGAATCCGTGTGGCAAGATTTTCCGCTTTTCACATATTTAATACTAAGTTGTCCCTTCAAGAATATCAAATTTTACAATGGTTCTTTTGATGATCAGCAAAGATCCTTTAATTTTACAATATGTTAAGGATTGCTTTAATTTGAGTAGTACTTTCGAGACAACTATAAATTTAGGTGGATTTCTTTTTCAACTACAAAAGATATTTTCACGTACTTTTCCATCTTGTAATAATTGGAAGAATCCAAAGTTAAAGACAACTAATTGCAAATTACCCAGTATCTTCATAACTTGAAAAAAAGAAAAACAGATAGTGATAGGATCAATTACTGAGCAGTCAGTTAAAACTAATGCAGATAGAAGATTTCCGCTTGAAGCGATAACATGACCGAATCAGCTGAGAAACACCACTTATTAAAGATTAACATGAAAAAGAAATATGCAAATATCTTTGTCTGAAAATTTCCTTCCAGATATGACAAGCACAATATGGGTCATAGAAAGTGTACGTGTAGTCATCGTTATATTAAGTGAAGCTATGTTATGCTGATCTGGAAAACAGAAACCTAAAATTCAGTTCAACTAAAGTGGAAAATCAATAATTGGTGATTTTTAAGCTTTTCATGCAAATCAAACTAAACCTTTTTACTTCAATGTTAAGAAAGCTGATGGAATTATGAGGAAAAGATTCACACTTCACATTTTAGTCAAATAAAATAAGTTTGCAAGAAGGAATGGCTCAATATTTCAACATTAAACGGAGTGGAATATACCTGAAATTGGGTTTACCTAAAGTAAATCTTCATCTTTCACTTCCTTCTACATTCCTTTCTAAAACGTAGCAAATGCGTTGAGTCTCAATAAGCTCCCGAAATTCGAACAATTCCAATAGTGCAAGCTGAATGCAAGAAAAGTAAATGCTCGAAAATGGAAAAAGCATGAATGTGAGCAATTCGAATAGGAGAAACGGTCCGAAATTTCATTTTTTACGGTTAGTTTGATAATGCTATTTGTGGTGGAATTAAGCTATCCTTTCATGCTATACTCACAGGCAATATGTGATAATTTCAAGATACACTCACAGACGACAGTATGTGATAATCTCGAGTTGACATTTTTTTTTCTTACACATTTTTCCTTAATTATATATCAGGAAAATATGAATTTGCCAGTAAGGCTAACTTATCGTCACTAACTTCGGGAATTCATTCTTCCCACATGCAATTCTAACAAACATCCCCACCAATTCACAAGTGTATCACACCTTCAGAGAGAGAGACACCGAATAACAGAATAGCCGCATGGTTGTCATGTGGAATGGTGTTTGATTGGATAGGGACTGTGACGAAGAGAGGTGCGGCTGTGGCCTGTGTGGGTTGAGTTAAGTGGGACTGGATCAGGATGAGCTAAAAGTTTGATCAAATCAAGTTAAATTAGATCAAACAATATCCGAATAGATTGAAATGAGTTTGACTGAAATGTAATGATCTAACAAAAATTAAAATGTAAACAAATGTAAATAAGCTGAATTAAATTGAAACAATCAATCGATTGAGCAAAAAATGACTATTGAGATATTTCATTTTTTTTTTAATTTCTTCAAAGGTTTGAATTTATTTAGACGATTAGCTATATATTTCAAGGATTTATTGCAATTATTTAATTTTAATATCAAGAAATGTAAGTACATGTATAATTAAGTGAATTATAATTTCGAAGTATTTTCTGGTTGATACAAATGTGTTAATTGTTCCATTTTTCTTAAAAGTATCCAATAATAAATATTTTACTCTTCAAAAAAGTCAATATGATTAACAAACTTAGATGAGTATTTTAATGGACACAAAAAATACTGTCATACATTGGATACATAATTTCAAAATATTTTATTCAATATTTCCACATATTTCAATGATATCGATGTAATCTGATCAAAATCTCCAGTGTACATTGTCGATGATTGATGGAAAAGAAAGCAGAGTGCAGAAGAAATGCATAGAATTTGTTTTTGTTCTGCATATAAAGCCAAATGAAGGTAGGGAATCTTGCAGAGGTTAAAGGTCATCGATGTATTCCTCTTATTCATTCAAAAACTTTCATAGTTCATTATTGGTAGGAAAAAACATGAAAATTTTCTCACCTAAAGTATTCAGTATGATTGCCCAGCTGATTCTTTATATAGCAACATTGTTGATAATGACTGATAGTTTTCCCGGCGATGGTTGGATGCGACCGATGGAAAAAGATATCAATCCCAGTAGGCATTTCTGATAATTTTATTTTTCCCTATAATCTCAATCGTTTCTGAAAACGATTTTTGAGTTAAAAAAAATTACTGAAGGAGAAAAATAAGTAATGGAATATTAGATGAGAACGACATATCTTAAAAAGTGAAATAAATGACGATGATAGTGCTGATTAGTTTAATTATTAAAGTTAAGACATGATGTTTATAGATAATTACTATTTAATTTAATTAACTTTTCTAGATTGTTGGAAATGTGAGCCATCACCTGAGGAATTGAATGAATGTAATGAAAATTTTCTAATTCATGGAAGGAAATGCGGTAAATTGCAATCAAGATTTGTCGAACGTGGCAATCATTGCATTGTTGAAATATTAAATTGTCATTCGAAATTTAGTAATGTATATCAGCCTGAAGCAAATTTTATCATTGCACTTGGTCGATTAATTGATCAGCCTAACAATGATACGTAAGTTTATTTAAATTTATTAGCAGCATTATTTGAACATTGAGCTAATGGTGAGCTATATGATATTAGCCAATTATTAGACTGTCATTTCGAACCGATGTTGATCGGTTATCACATTATAATTGATCAATTATTGATTGTAGCTCGTTGCGCTTTTTTCCATTGAGCAATCCTGTGGAAATGAAAGAAGTGATAATAACATGTACGCTAAATGGTACCTGGGAAACAATGCTATCAAACGGTTATCGAGTGGAAGTCAACGAGCTACAATGTATCACATCCGGTTATCAATCAATGAATTATATCTCTCCGTACTTTAATGAAATATATCGTTAACGCTGACAGTTTATGTTCTTTCAATTTCACTAGAAAATATTCATTACTTCGATTTTTTCCGGGTACCCCATTATATAAGCTCTAAAACTTCAATAAACTTCAATTAAAATGAATACATTGAGTGCATATATTCTTGCAACAAATGACGAACATACTAAACTATAAAATAATTTCATAAATTTTGCATATGAAAAATAAAACACCGTTGAATACAAAAGCTTTTAGGTTTATTTTCAAGGAAAACACGGTAATGTATTGTATGTATGAATTAATGATAAGAGAAATGAAAAATCCAACAATTTAGCAACAAATTTTTTTTATTCCTGAATACATATATGAAGTAAAGGTGATATTTGGGTTAAATATCTATCATTTTCTATTTCTTTTTATTATTCAATCTAAGTTAGCAGGCGTTTTTGAATGAGATAAAAATGAAAAAGAAATTAAAACTTAGAATATTCTATAGGAATATTGATTAAATCAGTTTTACTTTTATTTTTATTTTGCCTTTTTAATTATTTTCGAATTAAAGTAAATGTTATCAAAAGTGAACATTACATTTGAGTTGATTTTTTTTTCGTTTTTCTTTTTCTCAAATGTTTGAATTTTAAATTTTATGAAAGAGTTTCAGAATAGTTTGTATTTAATTAACTCCTCTGTTTTAATTAGTGAAAATTAATTTTGTCTCCTTCTTGCATATCATTTGGCATCGAATCTCATGTCAATTGTATAATTTAATGGATGAATTTTGTAATATTTATGGTTATAATAATAATACATAACATAATTATGGAATTCATACTTCACGGAACTGAAATAAGAATTGATGAACATTTAATGTCAATACCATCAGACCATATTGAAATAATCGTTTATTCCATTTATTCACTTGGAAACTGATTTGTTGAAATTATCATTTTTTTTATCATCGATCCCCAGATAGAACATTCCAAATTATTTAATTTTTTAACATCGTTCAAGTATTGCTTAACTTTTTTGTCATTATAAAAATTTCATTTCATTTTTTGCCATTTCCATTTTTTTAGTACACCATAACAAAGCACTCCTTTGCTGTTATTTGTTGCGACAACTTATGAATAATAAATTTACAAATCTATTGAATTTTTTCAATAAGATCCCCTATAATTTGAGCCAATGACTAATTAGTTCATTTTGATCTGTTTCAGTTAAAAAAATGGATTGAAGCAATTAATTTAAATTTCACTTTTCAAACCTTCATAGTATGGGTCTTTAAGGCAAAGCTTATACAAAGCTCAAACATGGACAAATGCTTGTACCAATCAATCGAACAGTGATTGATACAATAATTACTGTTTGTTGTTATGTTGTTGTGGTGGATGGCGTACCAAAGAATTTTTATTAAATTTCAATAGAAAGTGAAAAAAGAGCTTCTAATAAATGTAACTTCTTGATACTTAGATTTCACTTGACGCCCTATTTTATCTTTTTTTTTTTCAAATAAATAGTAAATAGCCTTAGATTAGATCGAAGTAAAAATCTGTTTGTTTGGAAATATATTGTTTTTAAAGAGAAATGCATACTGCAAAACATTAAAGATTTTGCTCAGAAAATTTAAGCCAAATTTTTAAACTTCAATCAAAATTTATTGATCACAAATGTATTCAACGATAAGTTCATTTATTCTTGTAACAATTGCTACATTGTGCTGATTTTGTTTCTGCAGTTATGAAATGAACGTGTGAGTTGATTAAATCTTCCGGTTTTTCATCCGCATATTCCGTATGAGTCCTAAAATGAATCAAATAGGTGGAAAAGTCTATTCATTCGATTTAATAAACTTTTTCTTAAATAAAAGAAAAGTCTAGACATTTATTTAAATCTCACATAATTATTGTCATTTGTCAAATTCCACAGCGAAATAAAAGTTACACAGTGCACAGGAGAAATAAATTAAATTTCGAATCTTAAATTATTCGTGGAAATAAATTAAATTTTAAATCAAATCTTTACATATCCCTTATAGAATGTTTTATTGAATTTCTATTGAAAATATTAATTTGTCACAATTTAAAATTTTAAATTATCTGAAGTTAATAGATGAAGAAAATGGTACATATTCTACGCAGAATGAAAGTTCCTTCTTAATTTTTTAAATTTAATCGAACACTACACAATTCTTTTCTGCTTACCTGAGATGTGATCGAATGCCTCGTTGTGAATAACCTTTGTAACCACAAATTTGACAAACATAAGCTTGGATTGCAGCATGATTTACCCGAATATGTTGAGCTAATTGACTAGCGCTTACTGGTAGGAAGTCACATTGTTGACAATGATAAGCTATCTAAAAATTGATGGATGTTATCAATACGATAAAGTGATCATTTCTATTGATTAATAATAATCAATAGAAATGATCACTTTATCGTATACTTTATCGTATTATAAGAATTAAAAGGTATAAGCAGTGCAAATATGATAGAAATGAGGCATTACGCTACTTTTCTTTGTGGTTCTCGAAATTGCGCTGTTTGATTAGCATTATTGTGACAGTAATATTTTTTATGTCCATTCAATGTTATTTCACTACTGAATGAAATACCACAATCACATCGATATTTTTTATCCGGTTCGGATGGTATCAATTTTTCCTGTAATTTTTTCATACTAACTTCTTTTATCATTACCATATGTAAAGTAAGTAAAAGATGAAGAAATAAAAGAAAAAGAAAAAAAAAGGGAGAAAACGTACACCTGTAGAATTATCTTCTTCAGTGCTATCACAATTACTGCTACTGCTATGAGTATTTCGTCGAAACTGTTTAATGCGTACTGTTAAATCTAATGGTTTTAAATCATTGGATGATTTATGCTTTTTTTTAATACCATTCGATATCGTTCCTTTCCTTTAATATTTGTTAGAATGTTATTTTGCATTATCAATTGATAAATGAGAAGGAAAGAAAGATAATCTTGCTGAAACGAACTTCAAAATCATTATGTAATCAAATCCAATCAGTTATGATACTTTTATTATTGTTATGTTTAGTAATATTTCGAATATATTCATAACTAATCTTATCATTATTTTATAGTTTTATAATTTATTTAATGAAATTATTTGGAAAGTTTTGTAGCACTTTTTACATAACTGATAAGAGCATTTATTTTAGCTGTCTTGCTATGTTTAGCTGAATTGATCTTTGATAAAATGTCCAGAAAGTGTTATGTGATATTGGTTAGAGATGTTTTTTTTAAGAGGAAAAATATATATATTCATTTCTATTTATAAAATATATTTAAAAGTAAGCAATAATTAATACGTGATTTTTGAAGTGTGTTAATTTTACGCATACCTTTTCTTATTATTTTTATGAAAAACAGTGCCGGATGTTGATGGATTTTGTGAATAAGGCTGTTGTTGCATGGTGGTGACACTCAGAAGACATCGTGTCTCACCAAAACAGATCTGATTTGGAATTGTGATATTGCGAGCCATAAATTCATCGATAAGCAAACACGGTTTAAGAATATTTTGGGCATGAGGATGTACAGCTACTGGAATTAACATTTGCGGATAACCCAATATCTGTAACAACTTTTATGCAATAATTAAAATTAATTAAATTAAATTAAACTCTTCATTTTAATCAATAATTAAAATTAAATTAAATTAAACATGATTATGAGTTATTCTTCTAAGCTATCTATTCGAATGATAGGCTCATCATCGTGCTAATAAAATTAAAACAAACCAAGTAAATATTATCAATTTCTCGACAAAGGTAATAAAAAATAAAAACAAAGAATTTTTGCAAACTAAGAATTTTGTCTAATGACATAATGCAGTTTGTTTTTTCACACTTCATGTTTATAATAGAAGAATACTGATTAATTAATAATTTAGAGATAATAATCAAACTTTTGCTTTTAGAGAGTATACTTCAAATTTCAATTAATCTTTTTTAGATGCTTAATTTTTCATTACATTTTTAATTAAATTATTCCAGCTATACATTTCACTTTTTCTAACTTATTACTAATATCGTTTTGCAATTTTACTAAAAACAATTCAGGCAATAATTTTCCTTTAGTGGGAAGCAAAATTTTTGTTGATTCTCTATTAATCAATCCTCATTTCTCTGTAGAAATTTACACATTTCTTATAACTTCAAGTTATCACTCTTATCTCATCAAAGGATGCATATCATCATCACAACTTCTCTTCCTCTTCTAAAGAAATGACTATTATTACGAAAGCAATTAATAATCATTTAATGCGGAATCATCTCTATCAATGGTACGACAATTGCGCTCTCTTATAATATCTCATTTTTGCATTACCTGTTTTATCTGTTGCTTAAATTATTGACAATTAAAAATGATAAACTGTACAGTGAATATGAGTTTTTCCAGATATAATATATTGTAAGATGAAGTGAAAAAAAAAAGGATGCCTTTTCACATAGCAAATTTCTTCTTCAAAATATCACTTATCAGCTGAAACTAACGATTATGTGATAAGCAAAAGTTGATCAATAAAAAAATGTGTTTATTATCTTCAAGTATTGTTTTCTGGAAGAAATCATATTTTCTTGTTTCATTGTAAATAATCATTCAATCTGTGATGAATCACCTGAACACTGTTCACAGAATGATTATGGAATGCAACGGGAAGATATAATGCATGCATCGGATTGATGCATTGATCGGTAAGCATTTCTTTACGATAAGCATCAAATGATAAGCTATTGCTATCAATAGATGTTGATAAAGATGATGTTGAAGATGCTGAAATTTTTGCTTCAAATTTAAAAATGAAAGAATGCAAACAGAAAATGAATTCTGAAAGAAAATTTTGATTTAAAAAAATGAAAGATAGAATTATGAAAAGTTGGATTTAAAAAATTTTCAATATTGTTATTAAATATGATACCTGTGGAGGGAGATAATCGTTGTATTGGGTCCGTACTCGATTGTTGCAAATATTGCTCGCATTCAGGCAAACCTGCGCTATCACTCTCTTCCTGACCACTTTTTCGTCTCTTAAATATGAAATTTTAATTTTTGAAAATTTGAAATTAAAATACCACCCAAAAAATTTCCCTGATCTACTGGTCTACGAATATGTCATTCCACTAGTCATCATTATTGATGAAAGAATGCAAATAGAAAATGAATTTTGAAAGAAAATTTTGATTTAAAAAAATGAAAGATAGAATTATGAAAAGTTGGATTTAAAAAAAAAAAAGTTGATTAATTCAATTTTTTTTTCGGCTAGAGTAATGCCAACTAATAAAAGCCTTAACTGTTTTTTAGACAGTAATTTTTCCACCTCATAAAATACAGTTCTACAAAATTGAAAATGAAAAGTGTCACACTTTTTCTAAAAAAGTACCACCCAATTAGTGCGCGACCTTCAAGATATGTTCAACTATAATGTGGAATTGCGGATTGTCGTATGTCATTGATTTTCTCTTTATGTAATTTAATTCGCGTAAATTAATTCGCAAGAAATGATTTTGAAATAGATGAAGAAAGGAATTGAAATAAAATTTACACAACTATAGCACTGCTTGATAGGATAGAATGAACAGTGGCAAAGAACAGTAAACTTTAAAAAAAAAGTTAATTATCGCTGGAATTAATACCGCTAAGATATTTTTTCTTTCTCGAGCAAATATCTCATATTGTTGCTTACAACACTTACTTGTTGTAGCATTGCTGCTTCATTAATGATCAAATGATCACTCTCAATGATCGTATCATTGTTATCATCAGGAATTGAAGTTACAATAGCTGTACCGGTGGCATTACAATGACGGGAAGGAGTGCATTGCTTCCGTCGTGATTTTCTCGTATCGCTCATGTCGCACATCTTTTTTTTTTCTTTTGACAACCAATTTTATGACAATTCTTTTGTTCAAAATAACTCGAAAAAAATTTTTTTTGCGTCACCTGAATTTTTTAAAAGGATTCAATAATTTGTTCATATTATTTTATATGCGTTATGTGTGTATGTATGTGTGTATGTATGTGTATGTGTGTATATGTATGTGTATGTGTGTGTGGTGTATGTGTGTGTGTGTATGTATGTGTGTATGTGTGGTGTGTATGTGTGTGTGTATGTGTGTGTGTATGTGTGTGTGTATGTGTATGTGTAGTGTGTATGTGTGTGTGTGTGTGTGCACAACTACTGATGTAGCAGTATTACTTGAGATGGAAAAGATAAGCGTAATGATGTGAAATGATATGATATGGTTGTGGTGTTTAAATATAAGAATGAGCAGAAAAGAAAATAATTTCGGTAAACTAAAAAAAGATACTTACTTATTATAAAATTGAGGTATGCTCAGGATAATTGCCAAAAAAAGATGGGAAAAAGCGAAGTAATATTAGGCATCATTATTATCATCAACAGGAAGACAAGAAGAACAGCCAGGCCTGAGAGTTATTGTGATGATGGAAGGATGAAATGGAAGTATTTTTGGTTGATTCCATAAGCATACACGAGGAAAAGGGTCACAGAAGTGATGGTTGAGTGGAATGGAAGAAAGCTGAAAAGATGGGAAAAAGGGAAAGTGATTGAAAGAAAGCGATAAGCAAAAGCTTCCCTCTCATCAGCAAACTATCATTATTTGGTTGCCCCATGAAAGTGATGCAATTGGAAGGGGTGAAGAAATGAGACGATCGGAAGAGGGCTGAAAGTAAGGATGGGTCAGAGGAGAACAGAAAATGCTGCTTCTCCAAACTCAATCTATCTATGCAAGCAAGGAAGCCAAGCTAGTCCCTTATCTGATCAAATCAGCTACAAGCACATCCGCTATTCATTCCTTATCTTCACTAAGCTATCATATCAATTCAATCTCTCATATCATCATCCTTCCTCTCTTCAGCTTTCAGGGCTCATCCTTCTTCATTCATTCTTCTGCACACACACTATCATCCTATGATGTCAGATTCCAAGTCATTGTTCTCAGTCCAACCAATAATCAATGAATGCCATTACGGAATGGATTATTTTGACAGACAATTGGAATATTAGAACATTTTTTTTAGGACCGGAAAAGATGCTTCATCAGGAGAAATAATTTTCAAAAATTTTATTCAAATTCAAGTGAGACTAAATTCATTAGATTAACTTTAATCCAAATCATTTTCAAAAACTGATGAATGCTAATTTCTAGCAACGGATTATTGCAATGTCAGAATAA